CACTAGGCATCACTAGCATCCAAAAGCCTCCCCCAGAGATGAGAACCCCAATGGATTTCACAGGACCATCATCTGCCCTTGCTCTTTTCTTCAAGCCAGAAGACTGTTCTTAGCTAAGGTAAAGCAGATCAGGTCCTCTGGCACAACTGAAACGACTGAGGGATAGATCTCTGTTATTTCCTGACCTCAGTCCTGATTTTCCCATCATTAGATGGCACAGCTTTAGGGTTACTCTGACTGGCATTATGTGAGAAAGCCCCAGATGGTTTTTACAGCTTCCAGATAAGCTCTTTGCCTTACCCTGGCACAGCCATTGTGCCAGTATCTGAGAAAGCTGAGACATAGAGCTGACTGTTGTTTTTTGCTGCAACAACATTTGCCAATATTTACTCAAGGAAGAGGAGTGGCAGATGGTTACAAATGACTCATTGGTAAATCATGCAAGAACATTTTTTAGCTAACCCTGAAGCAATCCTTTGGGAGTGCTGAAGGTCCCTGTGAGACATATGACATCGATTCCATGGACTTAGCTTTAAGGAGAGTCTAGTTACAAACATGGAGGTGGAATGTTGATCTGAAGTAAATTTTATAGTGCTCCTTTGTCTCATCTCCTTCTATGCTTCCAAATCATTTTTTATTAATTACGTTTGCAAATGTTTGTAGTCCTTGAAGTCAGAGAGCACTCCTGGAAGCTCAAATCAGGCTCCATAGTACCATTAGCTCATAAATAATTTCCTATACGTAAGTGAGCGTTATGATTTTTTTCCCTAAATTAGACATTGCAACACATGCATACTCAAAATCAGACATAATAGCAGCTGAACCACTGAGCTGAGCAAATAACTTGTGTCAATGTGGTGTGACTCATTCCTTAAATAAGAAAATTCTCATAATTTTGAGTAGTAAGAGGCCAGCATTCTTATCTATTGAAGTACATTCATTTTCTCTCCTCCAGCGCCGTTGTGTAGCTATTGCTTACAGTTCCAGGCTTAAGACAGCATAAGCAAAAAATCAGGAAGGTTAAAACAAATACATGTGAGTCAACAGCTAGGGAGTGGATTTTACTGGGAACCCCCATTCATCATTACTGAAAGATTTCAAAAGAAGGCAAGTGAAGGCAAGGTCAGACAAATGAAATGTCAATTATGATTCCTTTTTAGAAATAGAGTATATCTCATGAACATCCCTTCATTCTGTTTCCTTCAGCAGATTGACACATATCGTCCTCCTTGACTGGGAAGCCCCAGCCACAATGGGCTCATCACTATGCTATATTTCCGTAAATTCAAATTCACCCAGTACCATCTTTAACCACAGCAATCAACTAGCCACAATGTGGCTTAGTTGTTTCCTTACAAGTTTATATCTCATCAACAGTATAGATCCACATAACAGAAGCATATGTGGAAATTTTCAGAACCAACACAAACACAATTTTAGCTAATTGATCATTTAAGGAGGCAGTGAAAGTTTCTCAGAAACTGAAACATTCCCCTTTTTGGACTTCCACTCCTCACTTGTTCTTTGGTCAGTGCAGGTCTAGATCTGAAGCACGTACACAAGGCAGCAACAAAAAGGAGTTCTACCGATGCCTAGAAAGCCCCAGCTCAGCGTAAAGTTATTGTAAACTTAGCTAAATGAGCTAGCATTGCTCATCAGTCATCCAGAATTAGTATTACACTGCTGAGCAGCTGAAGAACACAATGGCCCATTACCAGACAAAATATAAAATCAGAGCTGAATATTAGAGCCTTGTTTTCCTACAACCAGAAGTGAAGCATTATATTCTACAGATGATAAGATGCACCAGGACTCTGAGAACACCCAACAACTAAAGAACTATAGAAACTCTATTCTCTTTTGCCAGGACTAACACCTCACACAGCAAGAAATCTTTAACCATTGATTAACAACAAAAATCATGAGGAAAAACCACAAACTACAGCTCTGTTTCACTGTTAATTTTTTTCATTAGTCATCTTTCCCGTCCTTATCCACCTACTTTAATTTGACCTCTGTGTACAGGCACATCTCTCTTGTGCAGATGCCACTCGCACTTACATGCTGTCTGATGCTTGGCTTCCTGTATGAAATGGAAGCAGAGATTCTTCTACAAGCACGAAATGTCTACTCAGACGATAAGCACATCATAACTTGATTCTGAGGATCTGGAAGACAACGTCACTTCTTAGAATTATTGTGCCATCTCACAAATGTAAAAAACTATATCTCCTAATCAGGGTAAAAATGTATTTCCTGAAGCTGAGCTATGAACGTTATTTTAAAATTTTTCAGCTTACAATGTCCAAGCACACTCAGATTTCTCCCCCTGGAATCACTCTCCCTATTGATAATTGCATCTTTCTTCAGATGACTAGGAAATTACAGCTTAGTGGGTGCAGAAGCAAATTACTATACAGATAGTGCTCTGGTTGAAGAGACAGAAATAGTGATGTATTCACTTTATAATTGGCTGGCACTTGCTGTCGACCATGTAAATCCTCCACCATGACATGCTGATTAGTGTGCACTGTAATTTATCAGCCAGCTGTTCCAGGCTGGAATTCTGTGCCTTGTAATCCATGCTCTAAAAATGCTGTATTTAAGTGCTGTTGCTACCTGCCAGACTATAGTTTGAGAGTTTAAAGTGCAGAAAACTCCTAAATCATCAAGAGGAAGAAAAGAAGATATCATTAATTTAAAAATACCTCTATTTAAAAATACATTCCTAAAGAGCAAAATGTAGTCAGATGGATTGCTAAAATGCTAGATATTAATAGTCATAAAGCCATGTGTACTACACCCTATATGTGGAGACTCCTGCAATAGATGCTCTTTATGAAGTGTCCCTGACAGCCCAGCAGCATTAAAAGAACAATTACAAAGGCATTAGATTAGAGAAAGCTACAATTTAGGGCAAGCAAGGGCAACAGAATGAAGCCAGCTCCACAGCACTGCAGTAAACCTACCCAATTTCAGCAGTGCTTGTCAAAATAAGGATCCTGAATATGACTTTGAACAGAAACCTAAGAAATTTAGGCTAGTCTGTATCCTGCCCATTCTCTTTTTCCTTCTGTTTAATTGGTTGTGAGATGGAAACAAGCAGCAACACTGTGGCCTGTGACAGTAACTAAAGCAAGAGTTGCACTTCTGATGCAAGTAATTTTATAGTAAAATGACAATAGCCACGTACAAGACAGTAGTCTTGCGTAGACAATATTTAGTAATTTTGACCTTTTTGGTTCGCTTTCCAGCAGTGCTCCAGCTTGCATGTTTCTCTATACAACTCTAACTCTCTAATACTTTGGCATCAATAATCAGATTTTGCATCCTCACTGACTTCAGGTCAGATATTGTGAGATACTATGCAAAGAGAAATGATGTTAGTGAAAAAGGTTAGGAAAAGGTTATGGTCAGAGTTCTATAAAGAACAGAATCATTCAAGTAAAACCAAAATTAAAAAAAAAAAGGAAAAGAAAAGAATGTTATGTTCTGTTACAGTCTGGCCACTAGGAACCACCACATATACGAGAGACAGAAGTGAGAAAGGCCAATGCACCAAAATTTTGCTTGTGGCTAGTTCAGGCTTTCTACGATTGATTTCTAAGACTTCTCTCTTGCTCTGACATAACAGATAGGCTCTTTAATTGCAAGTTTATAAGCTTAAATATGTATTTCAAAGCCATCCATCACTATGGCATTTGGATGGCTTTTGAGAAATACACCGGTAAAGCAAAATCATTGCTCTGGCCTCTGCCTTCCTGGCGTGTTCAAAGCTGTCACAGCCATCAGCAGAGAACATCCAGGGTCTAAAGCAGCAGAAAGTCTGTTCTTACGAAGGAAAAAGGTACACGTGAACAGACCATACATAATACCACACAGCCAAGACCTTGCAATCTGCTAAATACTGTCTTCGGGGCAGAAGAATGTTAATTGAAGACAAAACATTTAAAGTAACAATTAAAAAACCCCCAAACTAGTCATAATTAGATGGTTGGCGATTTGATAGATCTGCAGTCATTAAAATATGGAAGAGTTTGAACTCTAAGCTGCTAACAGTGGGAAAACA